GTGCAGTTCTGGGCTCCCCAGGACAAGAGGGACATGGAGCTTCTAGAGAGGGTTCAGTGTAGGGCCATGAAGATGATTAAGGGATTGGGGCATTTGTCATATGAGGAAAGACTAAGCGAGGGGGGCTTGTTTAGCCTGGAGAAGAGAAGATTGAGAGGAGGTTTGATCGTGTTCGAGTACTTCAGGGGAGAATGTAGGGAGGATGGGACTAACCTCTTCTCAGTGGTGACCAGTGACAGGACAAGGGGTAATGCGTACAAGTTGAAAGACAAGAAGTTCCACTTCCATGTGAGGAAGAACTTCTTTCCTGTGAGGGTGACAGAGCCCTGGAACAGGCTGCCCAGACAGGTTGTGGAGTCTCCTTCTCTGGAGATCTTCCAAACCCACCTGGATGCGGCTCTGTGCCCCATACTCTAAGTGTCCCTGCTTGAGCAGGTGGGTTGAACTAGATGATCTCTACAGGTCCTTTCTTACCTCAGTCTTTCAGTGATTCTGTGGTTCATCTGGTAAAAATGCAAGGGAAGACTTGGTAGATTGCAAAGATCTGGCTACAAGCTTCCTCCAGTCAGCAACTGGGAACCAGGAATTTAGGGATACCTCTCCAAAGTCTCCAAATTACTTACTTTCGTTTCATTTCATTTCATTTCATTTCATTTCATTTCATTTCATTTCATTTCATTTCATTTCATTTCATTTCATTTCATTTTTTCTTCATTTCATTTCATTTCATTTCATTTCATTTCATTTCATTTCATTTCATTTCATTTTTTCCTAAAACTAGAACATAACATGCCATGTTGTGAATTTAAAAGACAATATAACATAGCAGTGACATAGAAAACTCATAATACAACAATAATATTAAATGTGCTTACTCGTGTTGTTTAATGTTATTTAAATACGTTCCAGTTAAACATATCCTGCCTGTAGTGATTAGTCATATTTGCTGAACTACTGTTCATGTTCATTTTTTTCCTGTAATTTCAGGTTCATTACAGATTATCTTTCACAAGTATGTTTAGGCAGAATTGCAACTTGAGTTCCTTAGTAAAACCTTCTCTGGTCACATCCTCATTAGTGTTAACCTGTGTTAACTGTGTTTGAAGTGACCCAAATAGGTGTTCCGCAACTATTAAATGCATCCTTCCTCCTGACTTATGAGACTCCTTACTGCACAAGTTTTTGTGACCATTTGTGTAGTGTTACCTGTCTTACACATTTTTTTTTCTCATGTTTGAATTGGTGACAACACTTCACAATTTGACAAAAGCTAACAGTTGTTTTTCTGTTCTAGATATGAACAAGACAGTGGTCATGACAGTGGGAGTGAAGATACCTGTTTTGAATCATCACAGCCTTTTACACTCGTCACTTTAGGCATGAGAAGCTTCTTTATCCCCAAGGCACCTGCTGCCCCCAAAGATTCAGCAAGCAGAATTCTTCCCATGCCATCGTGCATAGGGGTCTGCCTTGACTATGACAAAGGCAAGGTTGGATTCTATGATGCAGATCATATGGAATGCCTTTAGGAGCACCAGGTGGACTGCTCTGATATAATGTGTCCAGCTTTTGCTTTAATGGGTGGCTCAGGAATTCATCTTGAGGAAGCCATCATAGCAAACTGCTTGGAGTTGGAAGATGACATATAATACGGTGATTTCTTCCCATTGCTGTTTTGAGATGGAAAATGAGAACAGAGGCGTACTGCCTGAGCGTTCAGTCCTAATTAATTACATCATATTTAAGTGCTGCACACAAGCCTTTGGGTCATGTTTTTTTAAGCAAACGGCCCAGCTGCTTCTACAAATGGGGAACGTTCTTCCTTCTATTACTCTCTTGCCTTTCTTGTGATCTGTGCGATGCTCTTCTCCACAGACTTTCTTCCAAAGGGGAGGCGGTTGGGAAGAAATTTGACTAGCAACCAAAATTACTCCTCGGGGTGGAAATCTGCCTTTTAAGTAATTCAAATCCTTACACAGTTAGTTTTGCATTAACGGAGTTGAGGTTGCCAGTGTGTGACTGCCATTATAATTTAAGAAATCTGCCTGAGTGCATTTGAGTGGTCAGATGCTTTCTGACTAACCTGTTAGCTGAGCCTTTCAGTGCTAAAGAACACTTGCACAAATACAGTGAGAAATCAGAACTGCAGCTGAACGTTTAGGTTGTATTTGGAAGGAGAAGGGCAAACTAAAAGCTGATCGTATTTCATGTGTCTTTAATGTGACTATAATATAAAACTCCAACATGTGGTGTATAGTTGGTGGCTTATTATGGTAAGTTTCTTTGCTCTTCAGGTTTTTAGTATAGGCTGCATAATATAAAGAAAGTGCAATTTGACCGTAAACATCAGACTTCTAAATGAGAAGTCTGAACTATTTGCATGTATGAGTAACAGTATCTAGTATGTGGGCAAAAGCAAATGAGTTATTGACACAAGTAATGAAATGCGAAATTTAAATTCAGGTATTTCTGTTAAATCATGTTTTATAAGTTAACTTTGTATTCAGTAAAGGCTTGTTTTTAGTAAGAATGTTAAAAAAGAAGCACTGATTAAGTTTTGAGACCCAAATTTTGCCTTAAAGCTTGTCTCTGTGCAAATTCTGTTGCTCTCATGTTTAAGGCTGTTCTGGGTAGTAGTGTTTGCATCTGTCTGGAAGGAATCTGTGTAAAAATCCATTCTAGTAGTACTTGCATTGTGGAAAAAAAAAAGGGGATATAAAGTGAAAGATGTTTCTAATACATCTTGGTGCTTTCTGATTTTAGGGCATAGTAGCCCGTCTTGATGAATGTGTGTGGAGTATGTTTATTTAAGTGCACGTAGTAGAGTTGTAGAAATGGGACCTGGACATCAGAATACACTTAAATGAATGTAGGTGTCAGTGCAAGAGCTGTGCTTTGCATTGTGGCCGGCCATAGAATCATCATAGAATCATTAAGGTAGGAAGGGACCTCTAGAGATCATCTAGTCCAACCCCCCTGCACACGCAGGGTCACCTAGAGCACATGGCACAGGGCGGCATCCAGGCGGGTTTGGAAGATCTCCAGAGAAGGAGACTCCACAACCTCTCTGGGCAGCCTGTTCCAGTGCTCTGTCACCCTCACTGTTCAGAATTTTTTCCTTGAGTTCCTGTGGAAATTCTGATGCTTCAGTTTCTGGCTGTTTCCTCTAGTTCTATCAGTGGTCACCACTGAAAAGAGGCCAGCGCCATCCTCCTCACTGCCTCCCTTGAGGTACTTCTAGACACTGATCAGGTCCCCTCTCAGCCTTCTCTTCTCCAGGCTGAACAGGCCCAGCTCCCTCAGCCTCTCCTCATAGGGCAGATGTTCCAGGCCCCTGATCATCCTTGTGGCCCTGCGCTGGACTCTCTCCAGCAGCTCCACATCCCTCTTGTACTGTGGAGCCCAGAACTGGACACAATACATTGGTGGCAATGAGCCACCACAGAGAGGATCTCAAACCAGATTCAGATTTACCTGTTTGCTTTCAGCATAAGCATTACAAATTCTTCAGGCTCTGGTAAAAACAGCATCTTGCATATTTTTTCATTATTTTTCTTTTTTATGAATTATTAAGTCTCCTTCTCTGCCCGAAAAAGGAGGGCAGAGTAAAAATGGGCATCTAACAGTTTGCTTAAGTGGAATTTTAAAAAATACCATTAAATGAAATTTTTATGCTTCCAGGGCTCTGAAACAGCAAATCCGAATGTGCAATAGCTACCTAAATGACCAAACACACATGAATTTTGTGGAGAATATGTGAACAACTTCTATTGCCTGCATCTTCATTCCCTGAGATGCAACATATTTGGACAGCCTCTGCGCCTCTGGGTAGAGCTGCCATTTTGTAGGCTCTGAATAAATGTTTATTCTTGCCATTTTTGAAGACTGGTGTGACACTGGCTTTCTTCCCATCTTCTGGCACCTCCCCCGTTCTCCTGGACCTTTCAAGGACCGTGGAGAACCACTTAGCAATAACATCCGCAATAACATCCACATACTGATGGGCTGTAGAACCCAGCCCACACGTGACCTCTCTGCTGAGGCTTCATCCAGTGGCTGCTGGTGACAGATGAGAAGGGGGCAATGCAGAGGGGTCGGGTGTTCTGCTGCCGTGCGCCTGGCATCTGGCACCTACCAGTGATAAAAGTCTTCTATGCCAAGAGGTAGCCCAAAGGATTCCTCCTGTTCCACCCTCCCCATTTTTATTTTTTTCATATCCGTGTTTCCTACCTGCCTAGTTGCCTGTGGTGTGGAAGCTGCTCTGTGCTTGTGAACGTCCTGTTGTCCATCTCTTTGTCTTCTCTCGCCTTTCAAAGGCGAGTAGAGCAGCGCTCCGTACAGACACACTTGAGGGCTCGCAAGGTTATGAATTTTGGTTTTTACCATGGTTTTACATTTTTTTCTGCTTGGTCGCAGTGGTGAGTTCTAAACATGCTGTGCACATGCAGGATTTTCCCCCTCTGTATGTTATTTTTTATTTATTAATGTTGAATTTTATCTGTCAGTTTGTCTAGTGATTTAGTACTTAGGGCCTCCTGCAGCTCTTCACAATTGTTTCTAGACTGGATTGTTCCTGAGTGGTTTTGTAGATGACAAAATATCCTTTTTGGATTCATCCCTTTCCTAGATCATTGTGGAGCATTTCAAATAAGTTGTAGTGAGACCTTGCAAATCTCCTTCCTAAACGATATTAATGGTTCCTTCCATTTTATTTCTCTTTTATTCATTAATCCATGGGGTGTTCAATGAACTGCTGAAAACTTTTAAGTTCTAGTGCACTGTATTGACTAGATCCCTTCTGTGTGTGAGATCAGTAAAGCTGAATAAACCCAGGAGACAGGATTCTGTCTTCAGTAGCTGTGTCACCATCTCTCCATTTATGCACCGAATCTATAAGCTTAAACTGTACATTTTAGAGAGTTGGACTTTCTGGTCTGTTCTTTCCAAACCAAATCTTTTTCTACAGATGAGTATCACATATGTCATTTTTGATTCCAAGGTTTCAGTAACTGATCTAAATGGCACAATTTATGTCATGATTAGCATACCACAATTTTGTATTGGATTCTTTGGAAACATCTGGAGCAATATCCCTAGCTTGTAGCAGTTCGTTACTGTTTTAAAGAAACGCTTGTAAACTGAACACTTTACCTTAAATAACCAGAATCCCTCAGACTCATTTCTCTGGAAAAAAAGAAAAAAGTCTTCATTTTAGAGTAGAGATAGGGGATGAAGAATTCATTTTTTTCTACTCTGGCCTTACCTTACATTCATTTAAGATGTGCTCAGCTATGCAATTACTTACTCTACTGAACGGAGACTGATGCTACTTTAAAAACTCCTTGACAAAAACTATCTATGTTTTGATATGTCTGTTTGTTTTGATCTCACTGAGTTTAAAAATTGATTTGGCATTTGGTTTTACTTGCATACTTCGGACACACTTCTTTCTTACAGTACTATATGGTGCTTACTCCCATTTCTTAAAAATAAAACATGCTGTTAGAGACAAAGGAGATTTTCTGTTTTCACTGCAGTGGAGAAGTGTCATCTCTTCAAAATGCAGTTCCGCGGTACCTGCTTATCCAGATATTTCTTTTTTCTCCAAAACAAGTTTCTTCCTATAAAACAGCACTTTACAATGTAGAGTTAAGCTAAGAATGGCGTGGTAATGTGTGGGTCCTTGTGCAATATAGCTGTTTGGTAACTACTGTGTGATCTGCAAAGCTCCATGCAGGTGTGAATCATGTAGACCATTTTTCTTAAAAAGCTTTAACAAGAAGGCCTTGTTCAAAAATATTATGAAATATAAATGTAATGTTACTTTTTTTTCTTAAAAAATAAAAGTCGTAAATGCTCAGTTGCTTGCTCATTCACATTATTATACCCCCGCACTCAAGCTCCCCCATTGAAGTGACATTTTTTACACTAGATGCGGGCAGGTGAGCTGGGGGGATGAAGAACTGCTCTTCCTTGCAAGGGGCTCGGCCCTCAAGATTGCCCGTAGCAGGCGGCTGCTCCACGCAAGTACCTCCAGCTTTTCACCAAACAAGGGTCTGGTCCGGGCTAGCTGCCGCAGCAGGCATTCCCTAAGAGGGGAGTGTTGGGAACCTGGCTCCTGGGAACCTCTGCGCTCGGGAGAAGGGAATGTTCCTTTGGAAGGAACTTGGCTCCTGAGCGTGTTCCGAGGAGAAATGAAGTTCCTGATGAAGCAAAGTGCTTAACTCAGCCAGGTGCTCAAATTAGGTCGGGTGAACCTAGCCCCTTGTTCAGCCTAACCTGTAGTTGTGAAAGCTGATGCCAGGGCTTGTGTCCCTGAGAAGCGAGTTGACACCCGGGGCAGTTACTGCTTGTGAGATCCAGCCCTGCGGGTGGCCCCATTCAGCCCAGGGGTGCTGGAGACTGGATTCACACGAGCCCTGCGAATGGTGCTAACGTGACCAACATGGCCTCAAAGCCAGACCTCAGGCAAAAAAAAAAAGTGTGTGTGTGTGTATATATATATACACATAGCACACACAACACGTACACATAATGTTTAATGGGAGAACAACTGACACCTCTTGGAGGTAGGAGTATCAAAACTAAATACAGTGTGTGCTGAATTTCCTCAAGCTTCTGATTTAAGCTCAAGGCTCGAGTATGTTGCTCAAATCTACAAATGAAAGGTTTGTTTATTGCTTGAGTAAAGCCAGCTCTGCAAAGGAAGCCAAAGGAGTGTCTGAGGAAGCACTTGAAAAAAACCTCAGGGTGAAGAATGTTCTTTGAGCCACCTCAGCAAATGAATGCAGTTTTCTGGCACTTAAGTGTGCTCCGTGAGAGCTAGATTCAGATAGTGCATGCTCTTTGGCTCACCTCCTGTTCAGCATCACTTTGCTGAAGGCTTATTTTAGGGTTCAGAAAAGCCATCATTCCACAACCGCACATCTGTGTGAGAGCAACAGCTTCAGTTTGCACTGCAGTCTCAAATTAGAAGTAAATTTGACTGGGCCTGAAGGATATTTCTAGCTCCCTTGGCCAAATAATAAGTCTTTTAGTGTACTTATTACCCAACTATAAACACTGAGCTGGGC